TCAAGAACATTTTAAACAAGTTTCAACTTGGTTTCAAGTAGATCATACCTGTTTAATTAACCATCGACAAGGTAAGTCCACAACTTTTTGTCCAAATTCGGCGCCATTTTGTCATCCCATGTCGGTTGTCAACAATTCGGCCTTGTTACTCTTCCATCCAAGCCATTTCCATTCCACTAATAATAAATTTAACCCTTTATAACGGTAGGAAACTAAAAAATCTAAACAAAATATAAGAAATGCGCCATTTTATCACCCTGTAAAATTTTGCTCACGAGTCTTTCAAAACATTCCGTACAAATATCGCGTGACAAAGTAACAGGGACGTGACAGGAGGGGGTGAATTATTTCACGAAGGTAGAAGAACGCTGCGTGAAATAGACTAAAAGCTAAATACAATCATACAAACGTTTGTTTTATTTCCTGTAGCGACAAATATATACATATTATTATTTATTAATATGAAAAAGTCATACAAATTAAATGTTGATTGTTGGATACTGTGTGGGCTTTCCTTTCATTTTTCAAGTCTCTACCTCCCCTGCCAAGTCCCTGTTGCTAAACCACGCGAGATTTGTACGAAATGTTTCGAAGGACTCGTAAACAACACTTTACAGGGTGATAAACTGGCGCATTTCTTATATTTTGTTTAGATTTTTTAGTTTCCTACCGTTATAAAGGGTTAAATTTATTATTAGTGGAATGGAAATGGCTTGGATGGAAGAGTAATAAGGCCGAATCGTTGACAACCGACATGGGATGACAAAATGGCGCCGAATTTGGACAAAGTTGTGGATTTACCTGGTCGATGGTTAAACAGGTATGATCTACTTGAAACCAAGTTGAAACTTGTTTAAAATGTTCTTGATACCATTATGTCTGAGATGATTTACATTTTTTGTAGGATGTCGACGAGATCGCCGATAAACAGCGGAGTAAAGTGGAGAACTTGGCCAAATACGTCCATTTGCAGGAGGTAGGCACATTTCAAATTATTATTTCGGTCAGAAAATATTAACTATTTTACACCAAACCAGTGATAATATATTTAAATAAGTACCAATTATGTTTCTATCAAAAAGATTTAGGGAAAAAGGTAATGTAAGTCGACTGCTGTTTATCTGAAGTTGCAAGCCGCAAATTGACGTTTAACTATGATTATTGCATGGTCACTTTCTTGTGAAATATTAGCGTTAGGCATTTCACACTTACCAATGATCACCCCCAAAAGTACCATCTCTGAACCATATAAGCACCTCAGAATAGCCAAAGCTTTTATGGTTTGGTAGATAGCAGTATGGCGAAAGCGTCGTTTTTGGGTGTGGTCAGTTTCGGACGTTTCGTCCCGGATTGGGGTTCGGGCAGCGTTACCATGTTGACCGTCATGTTCAACTTGCCCTAAAACAGTTGAGATTATCTGTCCTAAATGAAATGCATACAAACTCATATACAGGTCCTAGACTATTCTTACGGAATACTTAATTTTAGATTTTGGCCAGTTTGTCGCGTTTAGTTGTTGAGAAAATGTAATAAAAAGTTCAACAGTTGTCCGCCATTTTGAAAATAAACATTTATGCCACAGCAACATTATCTGACGTCATTAGCTGGGTAAACACAATTTCATGACTATAAAACAATACCGAGTAATCGAGTATTACCACGCGTAGTGCACTTTGAGCCAAAACCAAGGGCAGAAAAGTTTTACCATGAAAATATTATCATTTCCTTCTCGAACATTTTAGTCTATGAGTAAAATGCATGCGAACATTGTGTTTCGCCGCCATCTTGGAAAATATTTTTGAAAAATTATCTCGAACTTTGTGACGTCATACCAAAACTACAAGAGAGAATTCTATTGAGTGCGTGCTATGTTAGCTAAAAATATGTCATTTTGAGCGTTATACTGGCCAACACTCTTCGCAATCAAACAAGAGAAGTCTACACTATCAGATAAAAACTTATCGAGCGACTGGGAAAACAAGGAATGGCGCAATTTACAATACAAGTAAATGATCATAAAATATTGCATTAGTGTTTACCTTGTTACACTCGAATTTCTGCGTTTATTTAACACGGATATATGAGAAATAGTGTTACAAACAAGTTACGTACTTAGTTGGGTCGTCAAGTAGGATTGAAATAGCCAATAAAAATTTTCGTTGCCATTGTCCTTTAAAATATCACATCATATTTTCTCTGAAGTATTATTTCAACTTTCATGCTCAGATTTAATAGATACATTTTGGAAAAAAGCCGTTCGTTTTTTAGTTAACTTTTTTATTTACTCCAGCCATCGCCGCCAGCAAACATTTTTTTGTCAATTTTCCCGCGTTTTTCCCCGTTTCCTAGGATACGCAATCTCGGACCCAGAGCAATGCCTGTGCGCGGGCTAGGAAGGCATTGGCTCTGGGGAAATTGACAACCGGAACCCCTAAATTTAGGGGTTCCGGTTCTTTGTCGGCACGCACTATTGATAAACGTTCACCAATCACAGCACAGGAAAAATTCAATTTCCCCAGAGCCAATGCCTTTCTTACCTGCGCTCAGGCATTGCTCTGGGTACGAGATTGTAGGATACGAGGCCTCATCACGATTTATGAATAAGGTCTATGAAGGACAAAAATGCTTGCAAACACAAGAGAAAAATTGCCAAGATAACATACACGTCATGTCAGCAGAATTGCAAAAAAGGTTGTCGTTTACAAACCTTAAACCATAAACTCTAAGCGTGCAAAGCATAATGGGAGCATCATTTAATCAGTTAAGAAATCACTTATGGGGCCCATTTTTGAGAGACATGGTAAATATCTCCTTATACGAGAACAATTCATTCGCAAATAGCTGCAATATTCAACTACTAAGCTTGCTTTTGCTCCCATTTAGCTTTGCGCGCTTAGAGTTTAAGGTTTAAAGTTTAAAAGGTTTGCAAAGGACAACCTTTTTTTAATATTTCACGTCATGTTCTACTTTACAGACCCCGTTGAAGTTATAGAAATCCATTAAATAAGTGATGCTTATAAGTAAGCCACAAACGAGAGATCCCAGACCCGTGTAGAGGTCCTATTACCTATCCCAAAATTAAAATAAATCAGGAATAAATCACGTAAAAGTACTCCAGAAAATGTTTACTTTGTTACTGTACATGCTGACTTCTCAAAAATAGTACTCTAGTACAGTAACGAAGTACATTTACTTCGTTACTTGACACCACTAGGATTTAAAGGCAATTTTCCATTGCATGCAATCGCTTCAGGGCCGCAGATAGGGGGGCAGTGGGGGGGCAAATTGCCCCAGGCCCCGTGGTGCTGGGGGCCCCTGAATTTTTTTTTGTTGGGCCCCAAGAACAAGATATCTGTTTTTTGGGCTAAGTACCGAAATTTGGCATAAAAAAATGAGATAAAGTCCCTGGAAAGCAATTGCAACGTACTCGTCCAGAAAAATTTTTGACCTAAAAAGTTTTCGACCGGGGGGGGAAGTTGTTCTCCGGAAAAAAATTTTTCCGGAAAAATTTTTTGGATAGGGGCCCCTAAAAAAATTTTGCCCCGGGCCCCCGCCAACCTCTCGGCGGCCCTGAGTCGCTTTGCCCGCGCGGGCGGAGCGAACATTACTCAACTTTCTCTGTAGTTGCCTAACCTGACGCCATGGAAGTAGAACTACATCAACTTTCTTGGCGATATTCCCCGATAATCATCGAGCCTGAGGAGAATAAATTGTTTTAGTATTTTTACACTACAAAAGTTGGCGCATATTTTAATTAATCTAACATAAAACTCCTTTCATATATTTTTAGTGACCTCCCAAACAGTCAAAGAGAAAGAGATCAAACGAAAGAAAACCCAAGCATTAGAAGACGTGCTAAAAACATATTTTCAGCCATTATATTTTCAGCCATCATGAAAAACACTTACGAAAACCGAAAGGGGTTAAAAACTTATATAGTTCAAATTATTGTTAAATATTCAGTATAACTTCTAAATAAAGATATAATATATCATTATATCAGCATTATGTTGATATGTCATAAAAATGTCAGGATGATGATACAGTGTGTATCGAAAAAAGATAAACAAATTTCAAGCGCGCTATTGTACGTGAATTACTCGGCGTATAAACAAAACGTATTCGTATCCAGAAACATGAGGCCTTTAGCTATTGAATGACATGTTTTCAGCCAAGTGGAGTAAAAATAAGCAAGAACGAGTCCGATAAAAAATGTTAGTCAGAATTATTCAACTATAAGGTAATATATATTGATATTATTATTATAGTGAATAAGTATACTATTCACATCTGAAGTTTGCTGTCAACCTTTTTCATTGTTTTCATAATGCTTCTTTTGTTTGTTTTTTTTCTTGCAATTTGTACTTATCAATATCCCGTGCAAATGATCATAGCCGTACGGGGCTGATACGTTCAGGTGGGCAGTTGAAAGTTTGTCCGAATTTTTATGGAGAATTGTAATGAAATAACCTGATTTTAACATATTTTCTGATAAATCTGCCCAAATTTTCGTGATTTTCCAAAATTGGGGGAAGGGCATTTTGCCCCCTGCCCCCTCAAAACACAAGGACTCAGATTGCTCAATAATGTTATTCCATACAAACGTTTTGCAAATGGGAAGGTTGGACGTTCTCAACATCTTTATCAACAGGTAGGTTTGGCAATTCTTGTGTGCTTTCTAATTCTAAAGCATGCACGATTCAGTGATTATAACAATATCATTAAGCCATGAATTTGGTGCCCACGGGCCCCCTCCCCAGCAACATAAGCAAGTGGTCCAAGCTCTTCTGGTTTCACTGATAATTCACTCTAAAGTACACTAGTAGAATAAAAACATAAAAAATATTTCTGGGTATATAATCCTGTAATGCCCAGCACTTCTTACATAGCCATAGGTAAAATCTTCTGGCATCCAACAGTATAAGCCAACAAAACATTTGGAGAGGAAGAAGAACTAAGTTTAATACCCTTGCCATAGAGGAAATATCAAACTTAAGGTTACAGGACACACTTTTTGGCGTTTTGCGGAAAATCGCTACTGCATGCACGCTCAATATCGATTTTCATCAAATTTTCACCAAATGATCGCCAGTGCATGCAAAATATGGTAAAGGTTTAAGAAGTAATATATGAAAATATCATTTTTATACAGTAAAATAGTTGTTCTAAAAAAATGGTGTTCGGAAATTTTTGTTTATTTCGTCATTCCGCTGATATGGCGATTTCTTTGACGACTGCAATATATTTCTAAATCGTTTGAGTGAATTGCTCATTATAATATCCAAAATTGGAAAAAAGGCGAACACAGTTTTGAAACTATAACGTCTTAACTATGTCCTGTGAAAATGTGAGAAAAATTCGTTAAAACCCGCAGGAGAACAACTCGTCTGGGCCGTTTGAAAATCAGTAGTGCCGTAGAATTCATCGGGAGAAAATTGAATTTGAAAATTACATTTTCAATGTTTTCCTTATTGCAGCGAAATGTATTTTATTAAATAACTCTGGGAGTTTTCAACATTTTTCGTTCAAACTTGGTCAGATAGTAGAACTAGTCTAATGCTTTCATGGAAACCAATTGGCAAATTGGTTTCATGGAAACCAATAGGCAAAATTAATACTCAAAGGTGTTCTGTAACCTTAAGACATGGTCTTGGAAACTGTGGGATGGCATGGAATATCATGGAATCTGGGAATAACATTTCTATTTTGATGTGACAAAATGATCAAAACTAACAAATCACATGTTCAAAAACACAACTTTTTTTCTTTGCATGGATGAAAATATTCTTTCAGTAAACCATACATTTTCCAGAAGAACTCTTTCATAAATATACCGCGATCATTTTTTACGGAGGAATATGTGCAGCAAAGCATTGACATCTTCTACGAAGGACTTGCTAGGTTGCAACTTGAACACTTGTATGACCTCGTTCTCTGGGTAAATTTCTTCATCCGTAAGACTTCCCTATCTCTCGAATGATCGACAATGCCTTCTCATGCGTGATACAACACGGGATTTGATTTTCCCCTTGACAGTAGCTACTATCTGTAGAATTTGTCGAATTCGATATTCGCACGGGAATACACGCTTCCGGAAAGTACGTCACCTTGGCTATAGAGCCTCGTTTCCATGACTGAGCGTCAGGCTTTGACTAATGTCAGAAACACGAAAACGAGGCTCAATAGCCAAAGTGACGTACTTTCCGGAAAGGTGAATTGCTTTAATCCTTCAATCTAAACGACAAATGTAAGTCAAATATTAAGTCTAAGGCATCTCACTACATATTGTTTAATTGGACACATTACAAAGGACTTACTTCTTCAACTGAACGCGATATTTCTTAAGTTAATTCATACGCGTTGATTTGTAGCAGCTGAATTATAGTTTGATGAAAATCGCCTCCGTCGTTGACGTTGTATCTGCGTTTTCAGGGCCCAGAAGTGGAAGAATTTTGCTTTCTGAATCGTTTGCCGAACTTGTCGAAGCCATGACCAGCACAACAATGCATTATTTGGTTTTAGTCCGTGTGTTGTGACCTCGAAAAGTGAAATTGTACATTAAATCAAAGCTCACAAAATGCAGAACAACATACCTACAGTACATATTTCGGAAATTCGTTGTTATATAGTTAAAAGCAATAATCTTTCAACTATTTTTGGCGTGTTCAAGAATATATCAAAATTAAATTATCGTGTTGCAACACTGACGTAAACGCGAGCCTACATTCAGTGTTGACAATTACTAATACTGAATTCGATGCACCCGGATTGTCACGTGACGTACCTTTCCAACATCAAATCAATTACTAGCTTGCAAAGCTTTGAAGTTTGCCGGCCTTCCAAACCCTCCCCTCTATTAACTATGATTTAGGCTATTTTCAGGTGGAGATTTTTAATATTATAATGTAAAAAGAATTTTCGGACATACCATTTTTTACTAAGTTGTTTTACCGAAATTTGTACAAATTTTCAGTAAGATTTTCGTAATTTTCAGTTATTTTTTGCTGAATTACATATTTTTTGCCCGACGAGCGTGTCGTTAAAATTGCTAATATTGCCCGACAAATTAAAACTGCAATATTACAACTTTGAGGGGGAGGAGGGTGTCCCCCCCTCACCCCAAGAGTTACGCCCCTGGTTGTTGTGGTAAAACAACTAAACATATAATTTATAAACATATAATTTATATGTTTATAAATTTAAGCCCGGTTGTTGTGGTATGCGTCAAGATAAACGTTTTTATTCTGTTGGCCACAGATCTAGCTAGCCGCTGCTATATTTTGTTACCTATTTTGCAAACTCAAAAATGTACACACAAACTACATATAAGATGAATTCTATTGTACGAAGTAGCAATACAACATTTAAAATAATAAAAATGCAAGCAAATTACAGAAGTGACAATAATATAAAATCCAAGTTATTAAAAGGAACTCAGTTCTGCCCAAGAAATAAATAAAATATAACTGAAATACTTATTACATTTAATATATATTTTATGTACAAAATAATTAAAGCTATAGTATTTATTAATTGCTTCAATTCATCTTATTTAAATTTAATTAATTATGCAATATTAAGCAAATATATTTATAATAACAAATATTCGTATGAATATGTAAAATGTTTTACAGTGTCCTTAAAAATTAAAACAATTCTAGTCCCATGAATGTTTCAGTCTAAACCAAAGTCTATCAAGATATGATGCCTTGGAAGCTGGCCAAACGTCAAAACCAGAAAATAGAAATATTAGGGTTGATGTTGAACTGTACCTCACAGTGCACAAATCTTTAGTCTCAACTTCATTAAATATTATTGATCGTGTTTGCACGTTTCGTTTTAACTATACTTATTGGGCGATTACTTTTGTACGAGATGTTAATATACTGTTACGGTGATTGAACTCATTGTACAATGAGTTCGACACAAACTTAGACAAAAACATAATACAATGGACCATTTGCATTATAGACTAAATTTTGATCTAAACAAGTCTATCAGAGCTTGAAACAGCATCACAAAATTAGTAATATTCCAAAGTTTCGTTGCGAAATGTTGTAAAATGCGGATAATATAGCCTTGCAAAGTTTGCAGTTTTTCAGTCATTTTGTATTACAAACGGGAAATTGACACCCCAAAGGGCATTGGGCTGTCAATTCCCCCGCGTAATGCAAAATGACTGAAAATTGCAAATTTCGCAAGGCTATATTATCCGCATTAATTTTACAACATTTCGCAAAGAAACTTTGGAATATTGCTAATATTGTGATGCTCTTTCAAGCTGTGATGAAATTTTTGTCCAGACTTGTTTAGATCAAAATTTGGTCTATAATGCAAATGGTCCATTACTTCTGTTTATTTTCTAGGCCATGATATCTTGATAGACTGTGTCCAAATATAGGATCTTGTTAACATTGAAAATTTCTAACCATTCCCATAGCAACTGAGTGTTCCTTTGCCTTCATACGTAGAGCTTTTAATCCAGGACTCTTTCTATCTATATCCGGGTTTCCTTCCATTCCTTGGTTATGAACCGGTACTTGCATAATCTGAGCATGCCCTCCGTGACCTCCATTAACAATTGTTCCACTTGGCGCATGAGACAGCGGCTGAGATGTATTAATCTGCTGTCCATGCGCAGGTTTATGCGCATCATGATGAATTAATGCTGCCATGCTGTTACTCATCATTCCTGGATGATGACCAGCTTGACTTGCTCGGTTCGCAGACATATATGACGTCATAGGTGACGACATTGTAATCACGTGTGCAACAGGACTACCAGGGATATTTGTTGCATTAAAACCTTGAGGAGAATTTGATGTGGGTGATCTAATAACGCCTCTGTTGGGATTGAGGACTGGAGATAATTGTGGATTATACGGGATTTGTGATTTTTGTGGAGGTCTGGTCATGGCTGTAGTTGAAGGCCAGTGGCCTGGACTTGGGTTAACATATGAAGGAGAATCTCGGTACACATGGGGTGAACCAGGTACACATGGTGGTCGGACAGGAATCTGGGGGAATCTTTCACGTTTCCGCCATTTTGCTCGACGGTTTTGAAACCACACCTAAAAGACATAAGATTCCTATTAGTTTAAATTAAGGTTACATTATATCACAGAATAGATACTGAACCAGAAGTGTCACTCCGACGATATTTTGTCCGAAATTTTACGAGTGCTGACGTGAAAATACGCCATCATATGACGCCATCCTGGAGTGCACACGGAAGTTTTTCATAGGAAAACATAGGTACAAAGTTCCGTGTGCACTCCAGGATGGCGTCATAGCACGAAAAAAAATTTCGGACGTTTTCCTTCAGCCAAAACACATAGGAGTGTCCCTTATGGTCCGGTATCTATTCTGTGATTATATGATAAAATCCTGAATTTGGCAGCTTTAAGATTTTTAAGATCTTTCTCATTCTGCAATTTATTTTCGGAAGTTTCAAAACGCAAATGAAATATAGGGAAAAATATTTAAGTTGCCGAATATTTTCTGCGAAAGTTGTAATTATCATTGACACGTTTAGCAATCCAAGCGAGACTTGAATTTTACAAGCAAATACGGCATAGACAAACTTATGAAGCGGTATGCCCGGTCCTGTAGTTTGAAAATGGTTCGGTGCCTTTGGTTTCAATGTTTCGTCGCCCTCCTTTCATTTACTTTCGGCTGGCATTGCCGAGTTAGGAGTTCTGCGGATTTCTGACCTGATCTGATCGTGTTTGCGTGCGCGTGTCTAACACTGTTGGTAAGATCAACAAAAAACACCTTGGACTAAAGCATAATACGTACAATTGTACCTGATTGGTTTAACACGAAATACGATCACTGGATTAGCGAAGTAGGAGGAGCAGATGACAGGCACTGCCAAAACTCTGCCAATTCATTTGGCTTAGCCAGAGTATCAGGCCATTAATTAAGGGTAAGCTGTAAAACATGGAATCTTGGAATCCTGGAATCTTGGAAATACTGGAATTCTGGAATCCTGGAATCTTACTATATAACCGCAGAATATGTTATTATCAAGATATTATTATTATACTTATGCAACATATTGTTCTGCATGCGATAATTTAATACTTAGCTACAGAAGCAGACCTTGGTAATATATTATCAATATACTATACATTGCAGAATTTAATGAATATCTCCGTCTTGATCTGCCAATATATAATAATATAAACGCTGTGCGCGCATCTAAATAATATCGTCCGTTTATGATGAGAGCTAAAATCAAGTGCGTAGCAAGATGACCAGGCGGGAGGCAACTAAAGAAACCGTATACATTATATATATATATCATTGCAATCAGGAAAACCTCAATTAGATGCACTATAACACCTCGTATTCCGTCAAAAAATACCACACTTGCGAACAATTGCCGAGTTCATATTGTCTATATTCAACGAATTAAGGTTATGTCTTATGTTATAAGACAATAAGCCACTTTGACTCCTCCTCTACAGTCTACACTAGTAATCAAGTTCTATATTATTGATGATCATGTATGTGGTTTCTTTAGTTGCCACCCGCCTGGTCATCTTGCAACGCACTTGATTTTAGCTCTCATCATAAATCGATGATATTATTTAGATGCGCGCACAGCGTTTACATTATTATGTAATATGTATTGGTATCAAGATGAACATATTAAATTCTGCAACGTACGTATAGTCACCAACTATTAAATTATCGCATGCAGAACAATATGTTACATAAGTATAATAATAATATCTTGATAATAACATATTTTGCGGTTATATGATAAGATTCCAAGATTCCATGTTTTACAGCTTATACCCATTTATTAAGAGAGTCGGGCATAAGTACCTGACGTTCGCATGTAAAAATGACGGCAAATCGGGTTGGGATAAAACGCGGAACCGGAATACGGATTCCGTAAGCGGATTCCGGATGCGGATTCCGCAAATGAGGATAAAACGCGGATTCCGCAAATGAGGATAAAACGCAGATTCCACATTTGAGGATAAAACGCGGATTACACATTTGAGGATAAAACGCGGATTACACATTTGAGGATAAAACGCATGCGTACAACACCTAGCAATCCGACAAAAACCATGCATAAACACCTGCGTAATCCGACACAAAGTTCATATTAATCTGTTCCCAACAAGCGTTATATGTCTTGCGTATAAGTCGTAATTTTACCTACTTTGAATGATTTCTGCTGTATTTGCACCCGGCGAAAACTCACGACTTTTGGCGTAGCGTTGACAGACTCTTTTCACATCGAATCCTTAGCGAGAATCGAACCCACGATCTCAGAGGTGAAAGGCGCTTGTTCTGACACCTGCGCCATCAAAGCCCGAATATTACTAGCATTAACAAAGAAACTTAGATAAAAGTTTTGAAGTTTTGAAGTCAAGACGCTCTTGATAAATACGCTTTTTTCACCTCCCTCTGTAATTTTAAGAAATAGTCCAAAAAGTCACAGTCCCCCCCCCCCATCCCAACACTAATGCATGCATGTATGACTTCAAAAGTTAGGCCTAGGGTAACTAGGTAACTTTAGCCAATCGCTTTTTAGTGGTTGTGACCTTAAAAAGTAATAATTTAAGTTTTTTATACGCTATTCTTCTTCTCGTTCTTTTTTACGCAATTCCGCGTTTTATCCTCATTTGCGGAATCAGCTTCCGGAATCCTCTTCCGGAATCCTCTTCCGGAATCCGCATTCCGGTTCCGCGTTTTATCCCAACCCCGGCAAAATCCGACTTTTCACCTGTTGAAAAAAAATTATTCGGTCTTTTCTTTTCGATTGGTTAATGCTAATTAGATTATACTATTGGTCATGATATATTTAGCAGTTTGAACTATAATTAAATTGTTGTTTTTGTTACGTGGAATTGAATTTTCCCTTGGGGCATTTTGATTGAAACTAATTATAAACTTAACTCTGGATGCAGAGTGAGCGCATTAAGGTTTATGTCATTAGCTCTACTTATAAGCCTGATATTCTGGTTAATTTCGGCTTAAACAAACTACATACGAAGCAAAAATGTTATTGTCTTCAACGAAAGAATTCTCAAAACTGTACAGTACAGTACTGTACTGTACTGTAAGTTAATTTATAGATTTGTATTTCCATATTTCGTTGTTGAGATATTTAATTTTCTTTGAGAAAGCAACGCAACACAACGTAACTAAAATACAGTACCATAACATGTTGTATCATACAATAATGTGTAGAAATTCACGAGTATGGAAATAGCAGTAGGGAATATTAGCATAAAAAAGATCTGTCAATGCAGTAGAAGACATGGAGGATGATCAAACTTATTCCTACTAACAGGGGCTGATTGTTAAAGTTACTACAGTTAGCGTTAACTACTGTGGTTAAATCCTCAGCTGCAATTAGTCAACTACATGACTTAACTGCGTTGCACAAAACGTTAACTCAAAGTGTTCAATTAATACATCCTTTACTCAAACTGACGTCGAAGTTTTCAGGTAGTTGAATCCCTATACATCCGCAGTTTTCTGGCGTTTTTGTCACTACCAATGCTGTCACAGACTGCAGGGACGTGCTGGGGTCTTAAAAAGGACGACGAATGAGCAACGTCTGATGGGGGCCCAGTGATGGATGGATCAAGATTGGGGTGGGGGTTTACTAATCAAACATGAAACATTTCAGTCGCTAATTAATCTTTTTTCCCTAAAATTGATTTTTAAAATATAAATTGTAATATCTTAATCTTGATTTTCAAAATCAAAATCTATATCTTTTCCAATGTTTTAATTTTAGGGGCCCATGATGGCAGGGGAGCTCAAAATGGAAAGAAAGTCAAATCGCCCAGTATAAAGTCTTCAGTACAATCGATTTGCGCAGTGCATACCATCAAGTACCACTGAAGGAGGGAGACAAATCTTGCAGAGCATTCGAAGCTCGGGGAGGCCTCTATCAGTTTTCACGTCTTCCGTTCGGTGTCACGAATGGCGTTGCCTGTTTTCAAAGGGAAGTTGTAACATTTGTACAAGAAGAGAATCTTAACCGGCAACATTTCCGTATCTTGATAATATCACGATCTGTGGGAAAGATCTGGACGCTGCAAAGCGTAAGAACGTTAATTACAACAAAGGAAAGAGTGTGTTCTCGACAAGGTGCTTTCTATTCTCGGATATAAAGTCGAGGATGGAGAAATTCGGCCAAACCCAGCACGTCTTCGACCTCTACGACCTTTCCGCTTTCCCAGGAAGCTGTCGACGCATTTGAAAGCCTCGAGGAAACAATAGAGAAAACTGTTGTCACTGCTGTGGACGAAAGTATTGCGTTTGAAGTTGAAACTGATGCTTCTGATGTGGCATTAGCAGCCACACTCAATCAAAATAATAGACCTGTAAACTTCTTCTCTAGAACACTTCAAGGGAGCGAGGTTAAACACACAGCTGTGGAGAAAGAAGCTCAATCAATTATCGAAGCAGTTCGGTATTGGAGACATTTTCTATCGGTGAGACATTTCACTCTGAAAACTGACCAAAAGTCGTGGTCCTATATGATAAGATTATGCGTTGGGAACTCCAACTGGGCTTGCTACAATTTCGATATCAGCATCCGACCAGGAAAGTCAAATGTTGCACCTGACACCCTATCTCGTGCTAATTGCGCTACGACGTCAGAGTCACTTTACAACCTCCACGAATCACTCTGGTGTTACAAGATTATATGATGATTTTGTGAGATCAAAGAACCTCCCGTATACCCTTGAGGAGATTATAAGAGTCACAAGCACGTGTAAATTATGCAACGAATGCAAGCCGCAGTTCCATATCACCCGGACTGACAGAATTGCGGACGTTTATTATTGGCAAAGGAGTGGCTACCAGTCGTACTGAGGGGAATGGTCAGGTAGAGAGGTACAATTGGATAATCTAGAAAGGCATTGTCACTTCCTTTAAAAATCGATGGATCTTCCAGTTAAATATTGGGAAGAAGTTCTCGCCGACGCTCTACATTCTGTGCTATTGCAATCTGGACCTGTCCTCGTAAAACGCCAAGTTCGTTCAAGCAAACATGATCCTTTGGTAGACGAGGTAGAATTACTCCAAGCGTTAGCTTACCCCATTAGGTTACCCCATTATGCCCATGCAGGTGCGGTATCCCAATTGCAGATAATCAACTGTTGCTATCAAGCATCTTGCACCCCGAGGTCTTGATTTGACCTGCCAGCCACCTGTGCAATCCCACGCAATTCCCGAAGCAGCGGAGGAAAATGTTGATGAATGATGATTCAATGGATGAACCACAAGACAGTGGAAGATGAAATCCAACTCAAAATGAACAATACCCTCGACAGAGACACCAGGGATAAGTAATTGCCATGATGGGCAATCGTCCTTATGACGGTCGACGCGCACTTGTCGTCCGGTTAATAGTCTTAATTTATGAATGACGGTGATTACAGTATTTAGACTATAACAGAATGATTAAATTATAACTTTTTTGTTATTTATAAACAGAAGTGTTTAAAGACTGGGAGAATGTTATAATTTGTAACTTGATTATGATTTGTAATAATTGTAACTTGGGGTTACTGTGTTGATCTAGAGTATAAAGGTCAACGTACAAACAACAAATGTAAACATAATCTTGGCCGCCATATTTGTAGAACTTTAGCATGAACAATTATAAGTTGAAAAAAGCCAATTAATGTTTGTGGCATCTTAGTCAGTTATATATTACAACAAATTTATGTTGCTAAAGTGACATAGACACATAGTCCATACCTATTTTTTTTAGTTTAGAAGCTCGTATAAGCCAAATTAATTATTGAATAAGTGAACAAAATGATCAATTAATTATTTAGAGGCATAGCGGACACGCGAGAAGCAGCTCTACGTGGATAATTGAGATGGGAAACAAAATAGGTTAAGATTCGAATTCTTTTAACAACTACTACTATTAATCCATGATAATGAGCTGTCAGGTGATTTGTTGGCAAATATTGATTTAAATTAAATTAAACCAAGAAATATAATTAGATCTTGTTGTTTATTAATGTGCATGAAGGTTATTTCCCGAAACTTTGCATAATTGGCATTTCGACATATTAAACACCTTATTTTCTCGTCACTCTAATTGTTAATTATATGTTTTTGGCGGACAAGAACCACGACGGAGTTTTGTCAAGTACAGAATTGTCGAGACGTCTGAGAAACTGTCAACATGAATTTGGCTTCTGTGTTTCTCAGCTATAAGAGCTAACCTCGATTAACCTTGCAAAAATAAGCAATTTACAAAAAGTCAAAAACTAATTCAAGAACGTAAAATTTATGCCTTGTAATCACGTATACGCGTGCAAAACTACAATCTCTCAATTATGTTGGTAACAACATGATCATGCTGTTATTTTATCAAATTGCTACAAACTTGTAAATTAAAACTTGTTAACAAGTCATAAGTTGATTTGCAGAACGATTAAGTTTAGTATAATTGGAATCTTTTGTAACACGTCTGATGGGACTACATGCATGCACTTCGTAAACATCAGGGTTTTGGGCATCTGCACTCGATGACATAAGTTAGTACACCTGCACTGGCGTAGCCTTAGTATATATGTACATATACTTGCCGTTAGAGCTCGAAAACTGGCCTCTGTAGTAGCTCAGTTGGTTAGAGCGCTGTGCCGGAATCCTGCCAGATCGATTCCTGCCAGATGGCATATAGTTTCATTTTTCGACACTGCTCTGGGTTGGATCTAATAAATGTATAATGATTCACACTCGAAATTTCCATCTACGAAACCCTTCTGCGTTCACTTCGTATCATTTTTGTTGAAGCAAATCATGTACCCATGACTATATGAACCACACATTGTACAGCAAGAACTTACTAATAATGACTTGCTAACCCAACCAAACCTTGCCGGAAACAAGTCAGGGGTACAGTATATGTCTGTAATAACTTGCGTTAAACTGCACGTCTTACTATATAATTTTATAAGTGGTGAGCAGCACTTCTAGAGAGTACGAGTTCGAACACACTCCTTGGAGAATACGAATATTCATTTTCTGCATGAAATGGATCATATATGAGTATTGTTCTGGGGCCGGTTGTATAAAAACGTAGTTAGCGCTAACTGGAGTTAAAAAGTAGTTAACTCTTTTTCGTTCGCTGCTGAAATAACCAGGGGCCGTTGTATAAAACTCTTAATCACTTTTTTAATCACTATTTTGTAGTTAAATAGTGATTAACTCTCAAATACGCGCTTTTTATTGGATGACGTTTCCACTAACTATAGTTAACTTTAATCACTTTTTTATACAATCGGCCCCAGATATTAAAGATCATTCCACAATTTATACATTTCGTCATTGGACATTTTTATAGCGGATGCGGAAGCACAACGGACATGCTTTACAGTTACGGTAAAGTGTTATTGGAGAGTTTTAACACTGCCTTCATTCCTGGCTCCATTTCTCGGAACAATGTCGTTTGAAATATAAGAAATATATGAATATAAATATAATATATAAATTTGGCATCACATAAAATAGCTGTCGTCACCATAAAAAACTGTATATAGCAAATGTAGCTCTAAAATTGAATAGACTTATCTTTATACAAATCGAATAAAATGGGGAAATGCTATTAATATAAAGATAAGTCTATTCAATTTTAGAGCTACATTTGCTGTATACTGTGTGTATGGTGACGACAGCTATTTTACGTGATGCCAAATTTATATATTATATTTATATCAATATATTTCTTATATTTCGAACGACATTGTTCCGAGAAATGGAGCCAGGAATGAAGGCAGTGTTAAAACTCTTCAATATAAATTTACCGTAACTGTAAAGCATGTCTGTCCATTGTGCTTCCGCATCCGCTATAAAAATGTCCAACGACGAAATGTATAAATTGTGCAATGATATTTAATACCAGAAGACAGAACAATAGTCAGATATGATCCCTTTCATTTCATTTCATTGCGAAAATGAATATTCGTATTCTCCAAGGAGTGTGTTCGAACATATATTTTCTTCTTTCAAACCTATTTACAGTAAATATATTTACAGTTTTTTTTATGAATATATAAGCTACTAATAACGATTAAGATGTATGTACATCGGGCCGCATGGAGATGCATATTATGCAGTTACGTTTTCTTCCATGCAGAGTGAGTGATAGAAAACAGGCTGTTGAAAGACAAATGGATTTAAAGTGCAAAGATGATAGAAATGCTCAAGTTTAATTGAACAAACAACGACAGATATCTTAAGAACCGGATATTATACTCAGGCATTTTTGTTCGAAGCTTTTTGAGAGGACAGGATATTTTTTCATAATTTTGAATCAATAACTTTTTAAACTGATGGTAATCTTAAAACTTAAAATATCGACCATATTGAAACGTCATCGGCTTCCGTTTTGTTCTCGGCTGCCATCTTGTTCTCTCTTTTCTTTTATAAATCACAATTATTCTAACAAGTAAAATTCTTGTTTTGTCTGTCAATTGCACCTGTGATTGCACGTGTGTATATGCGTGCAACAAATTTTCTATAACAAGATTTTTGTTTTCTTCACGATAGCTAGGGACCGGTCATAAAGTAACTGCTAGGGTGGGCTGGAGTGATTTGGGATGGGCCATGGAAAATCTTTGGGCAGTTTCGATGGGCCGCCAATGTTTTGGTATGTCCACGGTTGGGCCACCAAACAAAAACTCATGCATGTCTACTTCAAATAATAAAGATATTAATAATAAAAGTATACAAAACTATATCCAAATTATCAAATGCAAATGCTGCTATTGAAGCCAGTACTTTGTTTATACAACAACAAGAAGTGGTCGAATCACAGCAGATACAGTCAAATGGTGAGCATATCAGTATCGTAAAATGGTGATGAATGTGTTGGTCAAGCTTGATGGAATTATGTATGTCAATACAGTGCCGTGTATATTTACAATGTTCATACCTGCAAGTTGTTTTTTTTTTATTATAAAAGTGTATTTTTCCAATTTAGATTGGGTGGGTCATGAAAATTTTTTTGTAACGATTAGATGGGCTTTGAAATTTTTATCCACATCCCAAGATGGGTCATCAACCTTATTGGCAAAATTTGTGATTTACCTCCAGCCCACCCTATAGCAGTTACTTTATGACTAGTCCCCTATGGTATAAAATATAAATACAGCCCCTACAACAACTATTCAAATTTCTTCGCCAAATTTTCACTTTGCCAATTTTTTCTACGACAAGTGCGCTTGTTTATATATTCACCTGAGTACACTTCACTGACATATTCACCTGAGTACATGGCACCAACAAATACAAAAAAATAGAACTTGTCATATAAAAACTTGTGCCAGAGAAAATAAATGTGGTGACATAAACTATTTAATAAAATGACAGTTAGTGCTAATTAAACTACAGTTAGTGCGAAAGTTAACCAATTTTAACTGCAAAACAGTGGGTAAAAAGTAGAGATTATACAACCTTCCCCTGAGGTACACCCAATTCTAATTAATTAAGCAAAGATCGCAATCTTTTAACAAATATATACAGTAAATACCTTTAATATCCTGTTCAGACAAATACACTTGAAGTTATTATAAAGTACATCTCGAGTAAAATTTTATTCTATTTTAAGGAGGACTTTGTTGTTTACCCCCTTTGAGATAATCTGTCGTCAGCTTATTTGACAGGTCACGAAATGTACTGTGAGGTAGAGAATTGCAAGTAAAGGTCAAATATTGCTGAGTATTTCTAGGCCTTTCTATGGGATAGTTATGCAGCATAGGATAAAACGAGACAAAATAAAAACTTATATGTCAAGTAAGTATTAGACCAGACATTGGTCCAATCTCGTCCAGGGCGTGCGAAGGTAAGAGCCTGGGTACGAGGTTGACACTGGTCTAGCCACGCATCTGCAGATGGACAATAAAAAAAGAAGCGAGTCTCAATTGTTCGTTGACGTTGATAGAGTAGAATCAACTAAAAACAGGCACTCCTCAGCTAGTGCAAATTAAAGTAAATGAAATGCAATTTGCAAATAAGTAACAGTCTTCCTCGGATTTTTCTACGCTTAGATATAAGTTTGCGTTGTATTTGCAGTTGTTGTGAAATTCTGTTATATTACCAGTTTCAAACGTCTGTTCTCCGAAATTTGCCAACTAAAACATTTTGTTTTTGTTCATAAAATGCCCGTTTGATGCTGTGGTGTGAAAGGTAATTGTTTTCCATGCGAAACTTTTGTGTTTCGAACGTAGAATGCACTGCCAAATGAACAAGCTTTCGTTTGTACGGATGCAACTACCTGAAAATATATTAGGAGAATTTGGCGACGTTTCGAGCGAAGGCCCATTTTTTATATCTGTAACACTTCTATTGAACACCTTTTCCCTTACTGGAGCCATTTTGCCACGATACAACAACCCGTGCGGGGCATTTGAGTGTGCCAAATAATCCGTTTGATGCCACGCCCACAGATGTTAATTTGAGCAAAACAAAAAGTTTTGATTAAAAAAATACTCGCCACAACAGCTTAATTAATACAATAGCCTCTTAGGCCCCCTTTACACGAGCCCGGGTTGATTTTCAACCCGGGTCAGCACACAACAGGTGGTTATTTTTTTATTCTGTTTACATGAACCCGGGTTGACGAAAATTTTTGCCAACCCGGGTCAGCAATTCTCAACCCAGGCTGACTCGAGTAATATTCCGAGCAACAGACTGGAGCAGAGTGTATTTTGTATCCCTTATAGAGCTCATACGATCATATTCCTTTTAGTTTTGGCTCTTATATCTTTCAGTATACGATTATATCCCTTTTTATCAGGGATTTAACCGTATAGCAACTTAATTCTGCCTTAAAGACGTTTTCTTTCTTTTTTGATAGCTCCTCAAATATTCGGCATCGAACGCCAACGCCATACCTTCGCGCAACTTTGAATACATTGCGACAACATCGGAGTTGAAATCTATATTTTTTTAATCCATCTCAGCTCCGTCTTATAATCCTTCAGAGACGTCTGTACTAAACAGAGACGGAGAACATGCGCGCGCAAAATGTTGAATTCGATATGACGCTAGGTGCAAAGTTCACAATCATGAATTTACCGCACTTTACATGATCCCGGGTCAAGCCAACCCGGCTTTACATGAAGAAATGAATAAACTTTTCACGCGTTCACACCTCGCCAACCCGGGTCGAGAGAAGGGTACCCCGGGTTGGCGTGGTGTGAAAGGTTGACCCGGCTATCGTGTAAACGCTAATAGAGATTTATTCGTAGACGGGTTGACCCGGGTTGGCAAGCCAACCCGGGTTGATAGTCAACCCGGGCTCATGTAAAGGGGGCCTTAATATCTGACCTGCAATGCAGTGTGTATGTACAAATTTTTCGTACCCTTTGTCGTAATTTGTACAAGTATACAATTTATTTTAGTTTTGTTTACTAACTTTTAAGTTAGTAAAAAAAGTTTTATTCTAACCTTATATAGTCTAACACCCAATTTACCGTGAACTGTAAAAAAATGCACATTAATTTATTTAATTAAACCTAATTGGGATACACTAACCAGATTTCACATGATACATATACGACTCCTACGAATAACATTTAACACTTGATTTAATTATATACCCACAAGTGCGCATTCTCAGTTTATACGATTGTCTGCTGATGTCGACCGCCTGTATACTTTTTCGACGTTGAGACTTCTATAGAAATAATAAGCTAATTTAAGTTCAAGTGAGGCACTTGTGGTTTTCCCAGGGTAAATTAGGCAGTGCATGAATGTACACAAACGCGATTGCACGAGGAATGTATGGGTGGAAACGTGGAAAGAATCAATGAGAAAGTACATAGCCGTGACGCTGTTACCACTTGCGAGCTTCCGTGAAGCCTGCGTTTAAAACTATATACAGTATGTTTCAAAACGTTTCTTCCGCATGTGTTTTATTAGTTATAATCAAAATTGTTTGTATTAGTAGCGAAGCTGAATGAAAAGATCAATAAGACAGCGTTTGTTTGATTTGGGGCAATAATATATAGGCGATTAGGCCGGCAGGAATGCGCAATCCAAAAGTGCAGAGACAATGGCGCGGCTGATGCTTCCATGCCTTCCAACTTGCTAGTCGCGTACTAAGCAGAAACTCGGATAGAACAATAATTTGGGCACAAATTAAGTGGGTAGTAAGTTATTGGCTGACACCAATTAACCAATTAATTATATTGTAATTTTATATTTTTCTTTACTCCCATGAAGGAGTTGATCATTGTTTTTAACACTCTTTGAAGAAGTTATAAAGATCCACAATTATAAAAAAAGCGGTGTTACATGCATTCATACTGACAAACTGGAATGTATTATTATTATATATGGAACACTGTGCGGTGAATATTATGCAAGATATGTAATAGTACCTGATGACCTAATGAGCTATATGCCAGATTACCAGTTGCCACTCTATATCCACGACATAATTTAATGATTGTTCGATTCTATCTATACTTTCTCAGAACAGCGGTAAATATAAGCATGTGATTCGTCGGGGAATGTGAATTGAATAGCAGTGTATACATAAACAAATATATGGCATCTTGCTACAGATTGAGTTTGATGGTTCAAGTCGAGTATATCATGCATGCAAACACGACTTCCTATATGTATGACATCTGCAGTATTTCTGTTCTTGAGTGTGGGTGTTATGAATGATTGCCAACGTAAGCAGTGTTGACAGATTATAACACCAATGAATTGTCGGAGCTCTTTCAAGAAAAAATAACAACACTTTAATCAGTGGAACGTCACGCAACTACAGTTGCTAACGGCAAAATGGCAGCATTTCATGACTTTCATCCCATCTTGAATTAAAAAATGTTTAAACCTTTCAAGTATAAGTAAAGTACACTTAGGCCTAATAATCCCTTGGCAAGGGCAGCACACCCAATCCTGTCGGTATTGGTGGTGTATTTTAAAACGTTAAGAGGCTTTTTTATATAGCTAATATATTAGCTATGAAAATCTTTTATTTGTCCACTAAAACCCAAATATATCAATAATATATACAACTATAAAGCCTGATTAACATGCAACAGCTATGAAGTGTGCTAACAGGCAAAAAAAAGTGAAGATTTGGAAAGTCGAAAGGTAAAGGTTACTTCTTTGTTCCTATCCTGCATATGCTGATCCCCAAATCACGTGACCATGCGAATTTGCCTCAATGGTTTCTAATGCGGAATCCACAGATTTTGAACGAAAGTTATCATAACTAATCTTAAAAAAACTTAGGTTAATTAATGAAAAGTAAAGCATATATAATAGAGCAAAAAATAGTGATCTATGTATAGAGCAATATATAAGTATAACTTAAGTATAAATTTCCTGCCGGATGCATGACAGATAATCATCATATGCTGCCATGTTTAACTCTCTGGTTAAATTAAGGAAATCGATAAGAATAAGAGGAAATTACATATAAAGTCCAAAAATAAGATGAATTGTCATGTATTGCTAGATGTAAGGCGATAAAGCAAATGAACTTCTATCCCTATATAAACATCAAAGAGATTTGAAAACTTGACTATTCTAATTCTTATAGGGTTAATCTTTAGTTTTGAATTGTATATACTAACTGTATGTAGGCTGAACAGTTGATAGGCCTATATAATTGTTTTTTTGAATAGATTGTCGCCCTGCCTCTGGATTGATATCAAACTCATGTCAGTAGATTAGCTATTTTTCATTCTTCATACAGTACGTATGGTATCAACTAGGTATATGCGCGTTATGCAAATTAGACATAACCTGAATGTATAAATATCACTATATCTGTAACCAAATTATGTGTCAAAATGAAAAAATAACATAAGAACACTCTTACTTATGTTATTACTTTAACGCTTGGTATTTCCCCTTTACGCACGATCATATATATTAATCATTTGCCTAACCCGTTTACTAAATGTTTATCTCAGGAGAGATTGACGAGAGCGCAACTTTATTACAATGTGTTGAATTAATGTAAACACCTCTTAAATCCATCTATATTCTCTCACATATTCTCTCTATAAGCAACATTTTAGAGGGAAGTTTAACATACCGCAAGTTACGGTCGCCACTGCACTGACTGCAGAGCAATTTTTCAAAATGCTAACAATGGACACTCTTAAAATGATTAACATTTTTATTCGACATAATGCAAATAAAATATGTTAAAATGAACTGATGTTAAGTAAAATATGTTAAAAATGAACTGATGTTAATAGTCCATTTTCGGATTGTCCATTGTTTTGTATCGCGTGTGATTTAAAATTGGATTAAAATGTTAATGAAGATCGGCCACCTACAGCATAATATGTGATCTTGATGTTGTATAATACAGTATATAAAACTACTGTCATTATAATCCCACTTATATATTCTATATACTAACAAATCATCAACATGACATATGGAGCCGTTGCGCAATCTGTGCATGCAGGATGTAGAGAAAATGTCGTTAACTTGAACTGCCTGATATTAAAGTCACGGAGGGCGAAATGATAGCTTAAAAGGGCCCTAGGGTTCTAGCCAACATCGACTTTCGTGGAAAAGTACTAATGTAGAAAGAACACATTGTTGGTGGGATCAAAATTCGAGAAGTTAGTTGAAGGATATACAACTACTTGCACATGGAGACCCTAGGAAAATAGTTCGATGCTTCGAGAATAATGGCGGCTATAATGATTAATGTATACACAGAAGCGCCACACGGCTTATGACTGATGTGGGAAATAATTAATTTTTGTTTTTCCGAGAGTCATGCAGGTCAATGTATCCGAGACGAAATCGAGGGAAACATCGGATTCGAGGGAGAACAAAACAAATTATTCCCCGGGGGAATAAATCTTTTTGTTATATACATGCAGTATATGTAGCGACCAAGTTTAATTAAGAATTAAAAATAAACAGCATTATTAAGAAAACAATTATGAATAAAACCCATTGGCTTTGATGTAAATGACTTTAACAATAAAATAAGCTGCTAAAATGTGTTGCAGCAGCATTCCCTATTGCCTGCTGTGTATTTTTCTTATCTCATTTTAGATTCGTACCTGGCTTCATTTTGAGCATTTATGATTTATGTACAGTACATATCCATGCATGGTATCGAAGTGGGCAACAATTTTTCACTTGTATATCACGTTTAGTTTAAGCTATTATATATAATAAAGGAGTTAATTTTTCTATTCTCAGATTGACTAGCTGGCGTCTTCATGTTTACAAGACTGTGATAATAATAAACTTTTTAAAGAATGTTAAGTTTCTACACCCAGGCTAAGCTGGAGCTAATCTGCCACATGACGTCTTAAATTAATCAAATAACTACTATACCACAGTGCACGCAGTTTATACTTCTTTAATAACCTAAATGTATATAATAACAATAAAATACTTGACTATAAATGTTAATATCTAAATCAACCTTATACAAAATGGGATATATCTTTACCTAGAATTAAATAAATTTTGTTATAGAAAGATGCTAATAGCTGTATGAGTATACGTTTTAATTTCACTCCTATCAAGTTAACACGCTATAACCCAGCACCTCTAATAAAATACGCATATATAGGTATAGAAAAAAGCAAAACGGGATTGTTTAACTCTGCCCTGGAGCTTGTAAAGGCATAACGAAAAGAAATATCCTTTCAATTAGCCTATCTTTCGCTTATATATATCCTTATAGAGATCTGTGCTTATGTTCTATCTTTATGTCGCAAAATAACAAAATCTTTGTTCACATTAGGACATGCAACTGCAAGCATGTGAGTTAAACTTTATATAAGTTTACTAGCGGAGCAGTTGAAATGAAGTTCCCTTTAGATCATGTACAATAATGTACAAAATTTGCATATGTATACCGAGATATATTCTACAACAGCAGATCGGTGTTTTATATAGATCGGTTGTATATATCGAGGACGAAAACAACACATTTGCGATGTTCAGTGAGATATATAAAGACTAAAGTGGTGAATCCTTGCATTATCTAGTCAGTCAGAATATTCCTTGCAAATATATTTTTATCATTCTTCACTCTCCTCCGCCCTCGTGGGTAACTATATGAATGATTCAGCTAAATTGCAAAATTAAAAACGAGCCGGTATACAGTATAGCCATACCCTAAATGTTAGAATGGTTAGCACAAAACTTATATCTCAAGCTCGATATAAATGTTATAAAGGAAACCATGCAACTCCATGCATGCATATTGTTAATGTCTTCATACACAGTCTATATTGGCAGTGATAAAATATTATTAAGCCAATGTGTGCCGCAATGATGGATTACAAATGTATCATATAATAATAATAATAATAATTTATTCAAACAAAGTCCCAATATTGGGACATAGAATACATGGGTAAATAACTAAATAAGTCGTTACGGTCCATAACAATAACATAGATATTAATATATATGAAAAAAGTTGATAAATGTATAAATACACATACATACACACGCACACGTGAGTAATTAGACCAGGCTATCAAAAGCAGCCAAAACGTCGAAACAATATTTGCCTACTAACTTCATTATTGACTTATCCTTCATAGCCATAATATATATAAATAGGTTTTCCGAAGTAAATAAGTTGAAAAACCTATTTATTTTATATAAATTATCAATGAATTTTGTCCTGAGGTCGATGAACTTCATGTTTGTATAAGGCATTAAAAAGTGACGTTCATCTCCTACTTCATTTAACTCACAAAGTCTGCATAGTCTATCATTGTATGGGACATTGTTGTAAGTACTATTTAAAAAAACGAACACGAGTGTTTTATTAGGTTTAAAGCCACGAGCGCGCAGCGCGAGTGGCTTTAGACCTAAGAAAACACTCCTGCTCGTTTTTTAAATAGTACATTATAACTATCATATATGATAATGAGTTATATCATAACTATCATATATGATAATGAGTTATATATGACATAGTTATATTATAACTATCATATATCATAATGAATTACTGTTAAAACGTCGAGAGTTGTCACACTGTAAATACGGCTATCGCGCCACAGTTTTGAAGACAATTCTTGATGCTTTGTTGCATAGTCCGGCACATAGTATAGAAAGTCCACAATTTCCCTAAACTAGCTGGACATGTTACGCGAATCGAGGCAATTGTTACTGCAACGTGCAATGCAATTCCGAAATAGAGTGATGTTATGTCAAACAGTATCAACAGTAAATCAAAGTATAATATATGCTGAGTGAAAAAATAACGAGTTTTGTGGTTATGTATGGTACAGCTAGAGTAGCTTTTTAATAAAATTGAGTGCTGCACGTGTAGTGGCCTAAAACATTAGCCACTGCCAAATATTAGTCGTATATAGTTACCGTATTTTATTTATAGAGCTATACAGCCTATACCATCTAATAAATGATATTTATATCGTCTAGTAATATATTTTTAATATATATCATAGGATATTATGAGGTTTTTTGTGAATTCAGTTCATGTATATTATTCCTAAGAATGAGCGTTACTAAGTTGTCAAGTCAAAGACTCGCCCTCTTTGACAACAATAACAGTTATGACAGCCGCAAATACTATACAGTGACTGATAGCCGCTGTTTCTACCCTCAAGGACAGTTGTTAAATTATTTCAATGTCAATGAACACTTTTGGGTGTGCCGATATACAGCTATAATTAAGCGCACTAAAGTTAAAAGAAAATTTCAAAACGAAAGTTCACTTAGCTATATGTACGAGATTTTACAACACCACATCAAGACAAATCAGTCTATGACCGAGAATCTTTACTTTAATTTATTTCGGTATTTATAGTTTCCTATACTGATGTACAATATTAAATCACGATTGCATGTTATAACTTTGAAATACTGTGGCCAAATTGCGAAGCATATGTTTCCAATAATGCATGCTATAGATCAGCAAAAACAAAAATATAAGCTAAGCTCTATTTAATATATGTCATCAGATTTGAATACCTCGCGCGTCATTTGAGGAGCAATCAATGACAATGGACGTACATTCATAATGCATGCAAACAAATCACAACATGCATGCATCCACATAATGAATTATTATGAAATCAGAAAATTGGTAAACTGTCGTCTGTCTAAAAGTGTACTGTACACAGAAATGATCTTAGCTATAGGTACACAAATGCCATATATTATTTCATTTTCAATCCAAGTATACTAAAAATGAACCGAATGTACTCATATACCTATACTATGTGTACATTACTCATTAGTTCACATGCATGCACGATGCAGTATAAAATTTACCCTTTTTCAGTCCTCGTATTCACTCGCTTAATGTACTAATGCTTAGCCCTGTGAGTCAACCAAATGAAACAAGAATAGCCAGTTATACTGATGAGAATAGTAACATCAGAGAAATTGCTATAAATGTACATATGTCAAAATTTGTAATTGTAGCGATATATGATCAATGCACGTTCTCGACGCGCATCAGTATATATGACAAATTATATCTATCTTGACTATTGGAGTATTGCTCCTATATATAATGTACATTCAGGACCTGTACAGTACATGAAATAATTAGATATATGTCCTTCTAAGTATTTGTTTTAGATCGTGACATGTTTTTTTTCCATATTTGTTATGCAGGACATATCTCTGCAGTATGAAACCGAAGGATAACTAATTAACTATACTTAAATAATAATTAATGAAGAAAACACAAAAAAACTTTCAGTGTCAAGGAGTTTGTTTATATCTGATACAGAAATCATACTGATTTACATTATTCATTAAATTTTCACCAAATATCATTAATTTATTTTAATTGATGAAGAATACGAATGTTCTCATCGAGACGTTTCACAAGTCATATAAAGCATCGATTCGCGTCCGTGTTGTATCAGACATACAACCTCTCGCCTTCGGCTGGAGTTTCTATATAGTTTATATATCTGATACAACACGGTCATGCTTTATCTATGATTAGTTGTGAAACTCATTAATAATTCATAAAAGAAACACAAAGGAAATCATGAGCGTGAAGGAGTTTGTATATCTACAGAATCATGCTGATTAACATAAACTTCGGTTCAATAGACCTTTCCCCTTTTGAGTGAAATTTTGATCTAGACAAGTCTGGACAAAAATTTCAGCACAGATTGAAAGAGCATCACAAAATTAGTAATATTCCGAATATGTTGTAAAATGCGGATAATATAGTCTTACGAAGTTTGCCGTTTTTTGTTGAGTCATTTTGTATTACAAATGGAAAAATTGATAATCAGTTTGATCATCTGATTATCAATTTCCCGTTTGTAATGGCAAAATGACTGAAAAACGGCAAACTATTAGCAAGGCTATATTATCCGCATTTTACAACATTTCGAAACGAAACATTACTAATTTTGTGATGCTCTTTCAAGCTATGATGAAATTTTTGTCCAAGCATATCTAGATCAAAATTTCACTCATAAGGGGAAAGATCTATTTTCTCACCAAATATCATTAATTTATTTTAAATTGTTGAAGAATACGAAATGTTCTGATCAGACGTTTCACAAGCCATGTACAACATTCGCGTTGAGCACTCATTTCAACCCAAGATTTCAGCCAATAAAATAGGTACGTTGTACAATTTGTATATCCATGGGAATATCCATGGATTTACCATTATTTACCAAATTAAAGTTCATTGTTAAATTAGAGCATAAAAATGCCTGTATGTCGATCAAGATGTCTCGCTTGTGTAACGAATTAATTTATACCTGAGATATGCTTGCTGATCGATAGTCTAATGGAGAATTACTGGAATTTCGTATGTTGATATATCATACTGTATATAGTTCTCGAAATTGGAGCTCTAATGCAGGTATATAGTATTTTTTATAACTAGGATGCAGCTGAGCTTTGGGTTAGAACTACATGAAAAAAATACTTCCACATTCGTCGGATGTTTCGCTCGAGACGTCAAAATATATAAACTGAACTTAATTTCGTTTTTTTCCCAGTCCACATGCAGTTCAAGTCGTGGTCTCGGCACTTTTTGAAACGTTTTGAATTTATCATGGAAATAAAATTGCCTTTATGTTTAATAAACTCAGTCAAACAACCTAATTCTCATGATTTATATTCTATTAACGTAATTTGTCAAGACATGCTATTAAACCCTGCATGGCTACACCACCCTTTAATTTAATAATGCAAAAATTGAATTAGCGATGAAATTTATAAACGCCAATTTCAACTTACAAGAATTGTCATGTCACCTATACTTATTAGAATTATTAGAAGGTAACTTTGCCTAATTTTTGTTGGATGGGGGTATAATAAGAGCATGCAGTACAGCAAACGCATGAGCCAATTTTTTTTGTATTTACACTGACTCGCATTCTGCATGTTCAGAATCAATGTCGTGTAATAGAAAAACTTTGGTGCGTGTTGCCTTGACTATTATAAAGGGTTCCAAAATCTTCATGGGCAACACAAACATATTACTGCATGGAGAAATTTAATCGTAGTGAAACTGAGGTTCTTTATATCTATGATATCTCACACTTTTTCATATTTTTCAGCTACTGTTCCTTGGTGTTTCTGTTTTTATCAATTTGTCTTACTATGGGCAACACAAACATATAGCTGCAAGTAAAAGCTAATTTTAGCGTGCGCGTGCATGGTTGCAAATCTAGTGATTTAGGAAATAAGCGCTGGTCAAAATGATGAGAGTTGACTGAGCGGAGTTGCAGTCACACTGACATTGTTATGGGAGACATTTCAAGCTCTAGATTAACAAAATAAAGATTTTATGAGTGTTCCAACTATGTTTTAACATGAGTAGAATATACATGCGAAAGCATTAAGGACAGGTAACCAAGCTCGCGTGACTCATATACCAACTCTCAAGCACTCTCATCCTCGTTTGATCCCAGCTTTAGTCGTTTAGACGCCAGTTATTGGACTTAACAGGATCTTGGACATCTATACACTCGATATAACTAATTGCGGATGGGTTCTGTAGATGTAAATTTCGAGTGGGAATTTTATACATTTATTAGACCTAACCTTTTTCGAAACTGCTCCTGGTTAGGTAGTAGGTCTAATGAATGTAAATATTCGCACTCTGAATTTTCATTTACAAAACCCACCTACAATTATTGGACTTAACTATATAAACAGTTCAGTGCAACTTTCTAGAAATTGCATTCAATATTTTGAGCCAGTGCTCATAGTTTACCGACCATATAGTGACTTATAGTTTCAGTTGTTAGAATGATGAACCCATGCAGGCAGCTCATTTGGCATGGTTTACTAGTCAGTTTGTGTTTTATCGTATATTACTATAAATGAAGTAGAAAAATGCAACAAGTACTTCACATGTATACATTTTTCATAGAACATTAAAGAACATCTTCACCGACGACCCTTACAATATATCTTGCCGCCTTTCTGTTTTGGCTGCAATAAGAGTATTATTTGTGAGCTGAGATTGTAGAAACAAACGGCGTCACCGTTAAATACATACCGGGCCTTAAAAGTTGAAAACATGGATACAGTATTTTGTTCCCAGGAAAGGCCGACGATGGCGATATCGCTTGCAGTATATAAGGACTAGATAATTCGTGAATCATTCAAGGAGGACATTGATTGGGTGATTCTGCGGGGACATTAGTATCTATGTGTTACTTTATCTTTGATGTCCTAACAAATTTGGATCAATTATATCTAGTATTCCAATTTTTTATCTAGTTTCTCTGTAAATCAGGTTATCATGCTTTGCATCGGAATAAAGTTTGTTTGTTTCATGGATAAAAAAACTGTTTATAACATTGAAAAACGTGACTGTATAGTAGCGATATAAATATCACTTTAATAATTTGTTACTCTTTAAGCAGCGTCCTTTCAGTTTAAGTGATATGCCCACATTAATTAAACTAGTTATTTGCATATTTTGCGTTGTGTTTACCAGCATGCATATATAGAGATCGTGAGAGAGCTCCAGTTGTCATAATTTAGTAAGCGTTCAAAAAGTATCCCACAATCAAAAGAACATACAGTTTACCGGCACAGTTGGAAAAAAGGCAGGGGGCACTGTTTGATAAATGCATTGTGCAGACATTTTGGAAACAGTTTGAAAACAATTGATTGTGGGCATTCTAAATTTTAGTCTGCCAAGAAGGAGTACGGTTGTTATTTTGTATGATTTTGCCAGTTCTAATTAATTTAATAACAACACAATCATGTTAACGATTAGGTCAATATTTGCTCGATAGCCTTAATAAAAATAACTTGCTCTTTCATGATGAGGTACGATGCAATCCATTCTAACATCTGTTTTCACAAATATACGACCGCTAAGGCATGCGTCACTTTGAATAATGCCGACATAGCCCACTCGTCTCGACTTTGGAACGCACGTTTTCGATTTAGAAGTCATTCTATAGTAATCTTCTGTCGGTTAGATTTTAATCGCTGGAAAGCGAAAGCGTGAGTGAAATAGTATCACTCATGCTAGAAAACCAAAACCATATTGTGTACATGCTTAAAGTGTATAAAATTTTGATAATTGAAATGCGCGCGAAAAATGCAAATGAAGTGCTGATGTTTTCATTTTGCGCAAACGTAATGCCTGTACTTAAATGTTGCGCAAATAAATTCAATTAAAGCATTTAAATAAATTTCAGTTTTAAATAAGGGTTAAGTGGAACAGTTGTGCTGAGAAAAGCGTAGAAAACCGCTGTTATTTGCTTGCGTCGATTACAAACAGCGCGATGATTGGAGCAGGTTAATCATGTTTAATATAAAGATAATGAACTAACAAGGCAAAATTGCCAGTTAGTGCTTTTCAAAGAGTGTTTAATTTTCGCTGACCTGATGAAATGATCAGTGCACTATCGTCGGCACGATCGATTATTAAATGTGTTTGTAAACAGAAAGTGAAGAAAAATTTGTATTAGATAATTACCAATTTTTTTCACCGCCAATAAATGTTATACATTAAAGCTTTCTTTATCGCGCTTTCGATTTTAGTTTAACCCAAAAAAAATTATCATTGTAATAAGTTTGCAAATGTGGTGTGTAAATCTATAACTTATGCGTAAATATTATGTAAGGGCAGGGTCAGATTTTTTTAACAGACATATACATATGGCGGGTTGCCCGCTCAGCGCAAATACTTCTGTTTTCGTCTGTGGATAAATGACATGATTTGCAAGAACTTTTACGGCGTTTAAATACAATAAAGTGGTAAATGCTGACATTAATCGCTACGTACATGTCTTTAAAATCCACACTATAGCTAATGTGATTCATAGTTTCACGAGACAATGTTTTCAAAATGTACCTGAGGCTGTGCATGCCCAACACTGCGGCGGTATCACATGCATGGGAGCTTTTCATGATGCGTTTAGAACAATTATCAATCTGTTAGGTTTCTCTGGCTGACTTATTAAGACGTAGAAAAGGGCGACTGTAGTTTACAATATTCACACACGATAATATCACTTCAAAGTGTACTCAAGCTGCTCATAATATTTTGTGACACTCAATTAATTTGCGCGAATGATCTGGAGTACATATGTATTCAACGGAATATTTTGCGTACTACCTGTTCAAGTTATTCTCATCCAGATACCTTACATGTAGGAATACAATACACAAAATGTGGCAATTACCATAAACTACTAGAAATATAGCAATTACTCTACAAAAATAACAAAACGCGTTAATGACAATACAATTGATTGCAATATATGGCTAACCTGTACTCGAGCTTCAGTTAAGTCTGTCCTAAGAGCAAGTTGTTCTCTGGTGTATACATCGGGATAGTGAGTCTTCTGGAATACTCCTTCCATTTCCTCGAGTTGATAAGATGTAAATGTTGTACGATTTCGCCTTTTCTTACGCTTTGGCGTATTTTCGTGCGTCGTCGGTTCCATTGGTGATGTTGTCGGGTTGTTTGTACTTTCAGTATGAACTTGTACCATGGATGGAGTTTGAGCTTGTTCCCTTTTTACTGCTCGTTTCTCTGATCCTAGACAGGTAGGAGAATATTTTGCGTCGTTAACCCTGCGTGCTCGAACTGCCGTGCGCTTTAAAATTGGTTCATTAAACCAAATTGAATTAAAAACGAAGAGCGCGATTTTCAAGTTGGCAGCTAGGGAGCGCGACCTAATTTCCGGGTAGGTGTTAGCTCTGTTGTTTTATTTATATTATCTGACGTTATACCTTGTTCTAGTTGAGGGCTTAGCTCAATAGATGAAGCTCCTTGCATCAGGGTCGGAGAATGGTTGCCGGGAGTTCGAGTTTGAATTTGTGGATGACTTAAAGGAACATTGCCCATTTGACACGCTTGTGAACTTGAACCCATTGCCGGCTGCATCATGTTAGGTGGTTTTCCTGTAGTTGAAATGCTCCCTACCAATTCTGTATATTTCTGCATTTGCAACGGAAGAAATTAAGTGTTAGTAGAAAGGAATATACACTTGAGCAATCTTTTGAAGAGATGGTATCTCGTAGACAGCTTGTTCACATGCAATATGTTATAAAAATGTTACAAGAAATGACTTTTGACAAGCGGACCTATCTCATCCAATTGTCAATCGCTAAGAAATAATTAGTCTTATGGCAGTTCGCTGTCCTTAATTAAGAGTTGAATCACGTCACTTGAATACTACGAGTAGGTACGCTGATATAAACTGTCGCCGATATACCTTCAAAAGTGCCAAAAGTATAGATTGCCTACCTGAGGAGGAGACTTTGGCTTTGCAAGCTGATACCTGTTAGAATTTTTGTTGTTAGAAGCAATAAGGACAGTCAACGTATGTAACTTGTCTTGTGCAGAAGAGGTTGAGCTTTGGAGTGGTCGTTGAAGTAGCAAGGGAAATTAATAATAAACATGCTTGAACCGCTCTTGGAGGGGGACCGCGCATTTGGAGTGTGGAGCTACGTCAAAGGCTGCCGACAGCTCGTGTAACATCCGAAGTGTCAGACACTCACGGCAGGGCTCGAATAAAAACAACAGCGCTCACACGAGAGACACTAACCGCACTCAATTCTCCATACATGCATCTACTACGATACTCAATTTAACGTGGGGAATAGAACTCAACGCAAAATCATGCCAGATCCAGATCGTGTTAGAGTACAGTTGACAGATATCATGTCGGTCAGTGCACATTTGTCAGGATGATTAGGAAATATTTGGAATGAAGGATATCCCGCTTAAAGATTTCCCACGGCCGTTGATGATTTTATTTTAATAGACCTTCACGAGACTGTGCGCGCGCTCGTACAAATAAACAACAAGACAACTTGTTTGTATTCTTTGTTAGATACGAACGTTGCTATGTAAACATAGACACGTTCTACAATTTTTAAATTTATTTTAATGGTCGTATATTGAAAGTGCAATACAGGCTCCCACCGTTTGTTTGCTTGGAAGCGATAAAGATAAGATGTTAAAACATTTCGGATATATAACTGTGATAAGAACCAGGACAAAAATATCCCGTCGTTCTGATGACAGCTTAGATCACTCATGTTCGTTTATCCAATTGCCATACGACATTCATTGACACAGTATAACCAATTTCAATGCTGAAATATATACAAAATATTGCTTTTTAAAAGCGCATAAACTACGAATGTGTATTGTTATACTTGTGTCGTATATTAGCATAATTTGTGGCCTTATCGTCTTTACTTATCACAAGCGCATATTGAAACTCTCATCAATTGTCGGAATGTTGCTATTGAGAGGGACCGACTCGAATATCTTGACACGCATTTTAGTTTATATGTTTATATTTAGAAACCACTCATTCATGATTATATGAGGATAAAAAAAGCCTCAGTATTATTATTATTACAATAATGTCAAAATGAATTTAAATACTGTTTATAGTCTTTGTCGAACGTCGTCTACGCATAAAAATTCAATTGCGCGCAAAATATGCAAATGTTTGAACTTAGAGTGTCTGTTGTATATAATTCCAGCTCAGACTTACATGTCTTTATTTTTAAACCGCATTCCAAGTTTAGTAACTGTCGTATATTTATATTTATATCTGTTTTATATTTGTATATGAGTACTATATAAATATAGGGAGGCTAATAAAAGCTTTGTTTACCTCATGTAAATATCACACGTATGTGAAAAAATCTGTCAATGGCGGGATTGCACGTGAGCGAACATACAGTATAATTTATGGAATTATGCTCTTAATTTTCTGAAATCGATCATGATTGGCGAAATTTCGCTGTACGCCTTGAGACATGTAATTATTTAAACACGCTGTTAGAGTGTTCGTGTCAATAAACAACTCATTTCAACATGGCGCGCTAGAATACAAATGTATATCACGACACATCAATAAAATATAAGGCCGCACTGCCATAAAATTTCCAGAAAATTCTTAAGACAGCTTCTGATTACTAGCTGTCATTTCCTTCAGAATGGAAGTTAGCTGATAGAGCCACAGTAACACATTTTTATAAATCTGTCCATCAGAACTTGCCGGTCAATTTCACTATTAGGATTTTGGGCAACTATACCTGATATAACTAATCGTAGAAGGGTATATAAAATTCACACTCCAAATTTGCAGTATTGTCAGCTACACAATGATTTAACGAAATTTGAGATACTTATAATGATTGTCAATTTGGTTTTCGTGAAATTTCACTCAACTGTTACGACTTACGTACAGGACCTACCGCACTATAATTATAGACTGTACTCGAAACTGTACCAACAGCTGGTCTGATGAATATAGACAGAAAAAGTTTTAACTTGGTAGTTTTGATCGACTTAAAAAAGCTTTTGATATCGTTTGTCATCAAATTTGGTAAAAAAGTTGGACATTTTTGGAATTATTAAAGGACCTGCTTTAATTATCACTATAATTACGATTATACTAATACAGTTCGGTGTACCCCAAGGCTCTATTTTAGATCCGTAATACTCTTTTTACTATATATATCAATGATTCGTATTCTGGCGTATGTAATCGACTAAGCACGCGTAAATGGTTGCATTTCACATTTCGGCATACATTATAAACGAAGAGGATGCGTGGCGTCAACAGAATTGTCCAGCATCTTTCCTAGATGGAATAGCAAGTTAATTGAAACAAGATAACTGATGATAAAAACAATAATTTCAGGACTATCTACTCACCGACGTTTAATAAAACAATTTGTTGATACGGTTGTAGGGTATATAATCACTGGAAAAAATTTTGAAAATCCATAGAAGGTCATAGAATGCGGGAAATTGTATGGACCTTTATTGGAAATAGAAATAAGAATGGATTTTTGTTATCCATATTTGTATATTTCCATAGTATGGATATAGTTTTGCACAGCCGATACTGATCCTTACGTACACTGGGAAAAAAAAGTGAAATTCATACTACGAAATTTGCAATTGCACCACTAAATCCATAGTATATCCATCCTATGATGGATATACTATGGATTTAGTGGTGCAATTGCAAATTTCGTAGTATGAATTTCACTTTTTTTCCCCAGTGTACGTAAGGATCAGTATCGGCCGCTGTGCAAATGCAAATATACCAGGCCCTGTAGCAGAAAGGGCATGCATTTTTCGCATCTGCTCTTGGTTATAGGTATAAAAATTGTCAATTGATCTTCGGCTCTAAGCCGGGTTTCTATCTAGCGCAAAAATCCTTCAACTGTTAGTTCTGTCGAACGAGATATCCAAAATATTCCGATACCTTATGCTGTCATCACACACTAGCTATATCATGTGATTTAATGCCCCTGAAAAAAACTGATACAACTATAAGCTCCCGTGCCGTTACTAGGACTTTGCCTTTGGGGGGTGTGAGTGAGATTTGCCTGAATTTTTCCAACTTAATGTTTTTACCTGATTTTGCAAGGCGCCACCATGGTTGGTGCCGAGCAAAACGTTTTGAAAATTTGAAGTCTCTATTACTCTATACCGTCGGAAATGGAGTCTTTCCTACCCAATATTTCAATATTTTAGTATTGCCTATAACAATGAAGATAAGTATTGTTACTTATAGCTTAATGTGACTATACGAAAAGTTTGGAAATTTGGAGTCTCCAGCTCGTGAGAAAGGGTATTTGGCCTTGTCTCCCCTGCCATGACACCCGAGTCAACGTCTTTAGTTGGTCGATTGTCAACTCTAATTCTGATTCAGAGCATAGAGTTCACTTTTTTATGCCCTGGGAATGACTAGAATTTACCTGAAAATCTAATGCTAACTACCTGAAATAGCTCGTGAGCTATTATCAGGGGGATGCAACCCCCCCCCCCCGGTCGCTACGGCCCTGATACGGCTCTCGTACACGAATCGAACCAGCATGCGACCCTGCGATTCCAGTGCAGCGCACCGGAAAAATGTTCTTAAAGATACACTTCTTTCTCTGTACAATTGTATTGAATGTGCACCCATAAAAAATGTTGCTGTGAAGTTTGGAGAGTTCAGCAAAACACAGTCCAAACGGCTCCAAAACTCCAAACTGCAAACTGAATCCCTATAACGGTTATAGCTATAAAAGCGAGAGTACATGATGTGAACTCAGGGATATTTCAAATGCTCCTTACTTACCACAGCCTACCAATGGCATGAAAAGAAGCTTGGTATGATTCATGGGGCATATGTTTACCAAAGGAAATTAGGGGCAGTAAATCTACATATAGCCTTATTACTTGTTTTGATAGAAAATTGCTTCTCACAATTTGTGAATATATTTTAATGATACTACAGTATTTGTATCTTATTTGACACATTGGAACTGAGTGCCTTATTAAGTTTTTTACCATAGCTTGAACATTTACTTGACACCTTGGAAAAATGTTTCTTATTACCTTTTCATCATAGTTTATACTTTTGTATTTTATACACACCCCACGTGGAAATCAGTATTTGTTGACGTACTCAGCGTGCCTAAATAAAGTTCTATCTATAACTTAATATTACATTGAAAATTAACATTTTAATTAACACTTTAATAGACCCCTTAATATTGACTGGAACCGAGGGAAACAGTATGTTTGCATGTGGAGCCGAGACTGACAACATTGTAATTGGCAGTCGATCGCGGGGACCACAAAATACTATAGTCCTATAGTCAATAAGTATATATTTTATTATAAACCAAGCTTAAGTGTCAAACAAAAATAAACCAAAAAGAAATACTTTTTGCTTTATAACTCGACCATGTTATAATTATTCACCGGTGAGTAAAAGTGATGTTCGCTGCTCAGAGCTGTTGCTAGGGGACAGTCGAATTTCGTGACTTTCACGTGGTGCGCCGTCGTCCAATGAGATTCAAGAAAACATGAACTTTGACTTTTGCTATAATAATCAGGATTCTCAATAGTGGCAAATGGCAATCAACAATATTATATTTATGTAGCCAGATTTTGTATTTTTTTTCTCCATTTTACATAATTCTAGCTCTTTCAGAGCTAGGGAGAAGATATTGTATACCATGGGAAAACAGTTGGTAGACTGCCAACCTGTTTCGCACAATATAGCAGTTGAAACCTGGCTTGTGGTTTAAAGTGCCCGTAACCCCAAAATTGATTTTCAGCTTATTAACAGTATCCTCCTTGCGTTTGGTTGAAAAGCAAACATTTTAGAGCCACTTGAATTATGGATTGCTTGGTCAATGGACGTCGTGTACGGGAGTCTGGGTCTAGCACAATTGCTGACGTCACGCGAGTTACTGAATATCAACCACTGAATAAGTAAATACACGAGTCTTGCCACTAAAACTTTGAACTGAAAATCGGCATGGTGGTATGGTAAATCTTTCGAAGTTATTATCGTCGTATTTGTTGTCACACGCTACACTTGCAATTGTTGTCACACGCGTACTAAACTGCAGCTTCTCTATATTTTACGATCATTTTTAATGAGCATTTTCACAGGTTTATGAAACTTTGCCACGGTTTTTATACTACGCTGATCGATCCACCAAGGATAAACTATGTTGTATTATGCTTTTAAGTTGTCTGTACGGTAATATTTTTTTGCCACATACCGATCATATGACACAGCAATTTACACTACAGTATCTTACAATTTGGTGCGCTATTCGGTCACCACAAAGTTTGGATCACTAGATGTAAACCGGTACTAGTATTTTAGTCATTTCACGATCAAAGTATTGTGTTTTAACGAGAAAGTGTTCTTGTGAAGTGTGCATATATTTCTTAGACTTAGAGTGAGCAACGAACACTTTGTACTCGCAGATCTCAAGCACATATCAAATGGTAGTATATAGTAACACAAAATTTACGATTCCAATGCAAATAATATAGCGAATGCGTTTTAGAACATAAATTTACATAGCAGAACATAAATATATCATGCAACGACTATTAGCGCAAACGGTAAGCTTGGAAAATCATGATTTTCGACAAAACAAACGCGCTATTATACAGACACGATCAGTACCAGGCCAATTTTATAGTTCCGTTGCAATTTAATACGATATTTGTTATTATTGAGCTGTTGAGCAAACTGCCAGGCAAACGTAATGGGACCGGCTAAACGGAGAGTTATAAAGTGGGGAGTTATCTCGGAGAGTTATGTTCGAACCACGCCCAAAACACTCCCACTTTTTCCAACGACCACACCCAATTTCTTAACTTTCTCGACGTTTCCTTGAACTAACATGAGAGAGCTATGTTTGACGTAACTCTCTCTCGTTAACATTATGAAGATGTTAGAGAGTTATCATTTTTTATAACTCGCCTCGTTCATGATTGTGGCAATGAAGAAAGTTATGTCAGTTTTTTTATTAAAAAAACTTCCACATATTAGTAAACTTTTGTAAATTTACTTTTTTCTCAAGTGTCAGCTTTAACATTTCACGCTAGTAGAAACTAATAGTACTTTAGTACTTACCATGTTAATCTAATTGTAAATGTTTATATACATGCTCACTTGGATTATCTACCAAGGGTCCAGCATTCAGATACAAATCTCGTATTAGATAGAACCAGAAAACCTTTCAAATGTAATGCCCTATTGGCTGATCTGGGAAAGTATTTCCAAAACCTGAATTGCTGAAAGATTCAATTTTCTTAAATTTCTTACAACTGTGCTTACTGTATTTACTGCCAAATACACGTCAAAGCATGCTTCTGGGGGTACTTTGACCCTTCTGATGCCAGCATCTCATTGTTTTGACCGAGTAAAGTTGCATTTCCTGTTTGGACGCACGCTATTGACACGCTACAAACTGAAATACCAAAATATAAGATGAAAATCTGAAGAAACAAGCTTTACTAAGGTTTTCTAAAAAAAAATTACTTAACTCTATTCATTGCCATAATCGTGAAAGCAAAGAGTTTGGAAAAACTCTCTAACGTTACGTCAAACATAACTCTCTCATGTTAGGTCAAGGAAACGTCGGGAGAGTTAAGAAATTGGGTGTGGTCGTTGGGGAAAGTGGGCGTGGTGTGAACATAACTCTCCGAAATCATAACTCTCCGAGATAACTCTCCGGTTGGTAACTCTCCCTTTAGTCATACCCCAGGCAAACTCTAAACTTCAAGGATCAATATTTTCGAACAAGCAAGCACGCTCTTCTTTAGTGATATATTTGTACAACACGGACTTTTTAAAGTTGATATTTCCATAGTCCTATCGGTTAACGTTACGTGGAGCGTTTTGCTATACTGAAATCAAGCGCCCTGACTGAAATTTACATACAAACGCGCTCCTGCTGAAACCACAACTAACTCGCGTGACGTCACAAATAATGCTCGTTCCAGACTTCAAGCAGTTAAATATTCCGGCAGTCATATGCCAAGAAAATCACAATATAAGCAGGTTCAAGTGGCTCTAAAATTTCTGCTTTTTAACCAAAAGCAAAATATTTTCGCGAAACCTGGCACGTTTAGTTTGTAGATCATGAACTACATCTGAAAGTGGAAGTGGAAGGACATTTTACAAGAGTTTATATGTGAAGTCTCATGCACAACAGCGAAAAATTGGCAGTTTTATGAAATCAACCGAAACTAAATAATCGAAAACAAGTGACAGGCAGCAGAACGAAGCAGAAGTACCCACTACATCTACAGAGCATATAATTCTACGGCCTCTAGTAGTAGCAGTGAAGAATCTAGCGCTGAAATAGACGAAGATTTTACAACTTTAATTTTGCCAGTAGTTCTGACAGTTGCCACAGTTTTGTCTCTTCTCTGCCTGTGGCAGATGATTCGTGTGGGTTAACACCAAGAGAAATACGATTGTTATGTGTGAAAGTGAATTAATCGTATGCATTCAAATCAGTCAAATGCTTCCTTCGACGAGAAAATGCGTTATTTGTACGGTATGCTTCCCAAATCCTGACATTGGGATTAAGCGTGTATGTTACAGGGGAACAGTGCCGTCAATTTGTCAACCTGAGGGTGCTGAAGCAAGAGAACAAACAATTCAAGAACACTTGAAGAAACCAGCACCCCAGCAATATCTCAAAGCAGGGCGGTTAACGAAATTTTCATCA